CGCGCACGGCGCGAGGCCGCTCCCACGGGCGGCGGCTTCGCCCGCGGAGAGATCCCGAGCGGGTCCCCGTTATGTCTCTTGAAGCCCGCAGGCCTCGCTGAGTTCGGCTGTCTCGTAGTTCTCGATCTCGAAGCAGAGCAGATGAAACCTAGAAAGGGGAGGAATATATCTAACCTTTTTTTTCTCTCCTCTCCCCATTCTGTTTCCGTCTCTCCCCTCGCATCCTGTCTCCCCAGAACGAAATCTTGAAAAGCACAGTTAGCAGCAACGATAAGAAAACCAAAGGGAGGACTGGCTGGCCGCAGCATGTCTGGGCTTTGGAGCTCAAGCAGTGAGCACGGCAGGACTGGAGGAGCCGTCCTCTTAGTCTCGGTAGCGAGCTCTCCTCTGAGGACTCTTTGTATTTGGAATCATCCAGTTTATTTATGTGCAATTTCTCCCCCAACCCCCCAAAATGTGGATATTTGAAGGAGAGGGAAAAAGCATTCCATATATGAAGAGGAAACTCCAGCTTGGTAAGGGGTAATGTCTCTAAATGTTTTGTGAATGTTATTTGCTCTGTATAAAACACGTGGGGAAAACAGAATCATAGAAAAGGAAAAAAAAAAAAAAAAATCCCTCCCTGGCATTAGTGTGTATGTGAAGTGTATCTTTAATACTTGGCCTTTTGGATATAAATATTCATGGGATTATAAAGCTATATTTCAACAGAAGCAGTTGCACCAATGTTTCGATTGACTCGGTATTTAGTGTTGTAATTTTGTTGTGGTCGTTCGGTATTTGAAGATGTTTTCAACAGTTACTGGTTATGTGCACTTCCGTCCGTAAGGGAAAAAGTGGAATCTAATTAATATTGAAGGTGTAAACGTTGTAAGTACTCAATAAACCACTGTGTGTGTTTTTTACAAAACAAAAGAAAAAAAAAAGAAAAAAAAAAAAGAAAAAAAGAAAATCCAAATCTTTTTATGTTTTATACCTCAAAATGTTTTGAATAACAGCGTTGTTTATGGCTTTTTTTTTTTCATAATATTTAAAATATTCGGAAGTAAACTAAATTATAAAGATGGCTCCTAATTTTATTTTTAAACAAGTGACTGAATGAAAGGAGGGAGGGATCTCTCAGCCCCCTGAGTGCTGAACAGAAGCCGGCAGTTCATCCGAATAGGAATTCCTTGTGGTGGTGTTCTCCATGCAGGAGACGTACTGCGAACGGGAAATGGGCAAGGGTGCAAACCCCGGCGGCTCAGGAATCGCAGAGATGCGCGGGTTTCGTGCCGTCCGAGCCCGGGCGGTGCCAGGCGCGGGCCCGGAGAGGGCCCGGAGGCAGGCGAGGGAGGCTGGGGAGCTTTGCTCGGAGTGATTATGTAGCAGGTAATTTTATGTCAAGAAAGAAAGAGCGAACAAGGCAAGGGATTTGCGGGGGTCTGGGGGGGGGGTTGGGGGGG